CCTCTATCTGATGAATACATGCCGGACCAGGCTACTCCTATGTATCGGTGACGTTGGAAAAATTCATTATGTTCCGTTTTGGGTGGCAATATTAGTTGATTTAGTTCAGCTCGTTGCACGTTTTTATCATTTTTTTTTTTTTTTGGTTTTTATCAAATATATCAGTATGTATAAAAATGTTAGGACAGCACAAAAGGACTCTACAAATATAATACTATTTCTGGTCTTAATTATAAAATTTATTTTAGTTTACAGATAAAGTCTTGTAATGAAAACAAGAAATACTACATTAAGACAACAGTTCACGTTTCACAAGACTGAATATAAAGATTAGACGTGTTTCTGTCAATTTGACATGGAACGTCCCCATCCCTTCCTGTGCATGAACAGCCAAGTGGCAACTTGGAATTCGGGTTGAATCTTTCTACTGACTCGCCCAACGCATTAACGGCTTTCTTCACTCAACTTTCGTTAGGCTTGCACGCCCTTGAGTCCACCCCAATGTCCATTCTCGACTTTTAGGAATTAAAAAAAAAAATTTTTGTTATAAATAAAGAAGAAAGAATAGAGAAGAAAAGAAAATCAATGAGAGAAAGTGTTTCTCATTCCATTCAAGAGTGCTGAATACATTATCATAGTCTCTATTTCTAGACACAGTTTTACATCTTGATAGAATCTACAGATATAATAATAAAAGATAATTGCAGATAACAGGAATAATGACAAATATTAAAGATATTGGGAGATAAGGGAGATAATGATAGATACATGGACATCCATAAAAAATATTATATTCATAACATTATACATTTTTTTCTTTATATTGTTTGATCGCTCTAAGATATCAAAATAACTCCCATTTTATGTAGAAGCTATTGATCAAAAGAAACAGGGGAAAAAAAATGACTGAGATGTTGGAACGTTATAGATGGGTGAAACATTAGAGTCACATACTCTTTTTGAAATTAATGTTTATTTTTTTAGGTTTTGTTTTACTGCGAAAGATTTTTACCGCTTAAATTTTAAAACTTTGTTACAATTAAAATGTATCTTACATGTCAAATCAGTAATTCAAACTCATCTTTTTATTCCTTTAAAACTCGAACAATACTACTCAGAGGACTATAATCCCTATCACTCATATCAATAGAAGTTGATAAAGATCTATATATATATTTATTATGTATATATATAATATATATATATAACAACTAAGAGCCTGTTTGGTAGGATTATATGAAAAAAGATTACATGTAATCCTAACGTGATCCCACATTTTTAATGTTTAGTTGGTCTAAGGTGATGTAATAAGTGTTACATAATGGATCATGATTCCTTAATTCAATAATAGGAATTACATAAAAAAACCTACGTAATCCCCATAAACAATCCGCTCTTGACTTTTCTACCCCTCATCCTCATTGTTGTGTGGCTACATCCTTTGAATTATATTGGCAGCAATCTTCACCGGCGTTCTTCTCCTATTTAAATTTAATTAAATTAAAAAAAAATTAAATTCCATTATATAACATACCCACACACTCATTTAATCCATATTGCATTACATCCCGTTTCCTTCCATACATACAATCCATTACGACAAATTGAATGAACCAAAGGGCCATAAGAGATAAACATTGAACATCTATCGAGCCCATGCCCAAATATGCCCTTATTGTTTTGTAAACAAATTCATTAAATTGGATACTTACTTGTTTTGGTCTCTCTTTCATGAATCAAAGTAAGAATCAGATACACAAATCCATTGAATGTTATATCCAAATAAATAATCCTTGTGATGTATGAATTGATGGATACCCAGTATTTATGTTTAGATAAGTGTTCTCATGCAGCACGTAATAATTTTCAACAATTTTGCTGGAAATTTAATCATTTATGTTGATTATTTTTGTGACCCGATCTGTTAATGTCAAAATTGAAAATACTTATTAGTTGTCATTTAGTCAGCGTGTATTTCTAGCACCTTCCCTAGTTTTCTTAATGCTCAAGAATAGCCATACATTTTGTTGAATACATCAATAAACTGCAAGTATTTATGATAACTTATTTACCAAATTACAAATATGCTCTTTTATCTCTCAATAAAATCGATTTAATCCAATTAATATAAATTAAATTGCTTGGTCCTCCAATTCACCAAATTATTGTTCATAAATCAGAGCCGTCTTCTCCAAGAAATTCTTTGGTTTCTTTTATTTCTTCATAAATTACAATCAGTTCACCCGACGCTGATCACTTTTGAGAACTCCTGAATATCCAAATGATCCAAACAGACGATCTCACTCCCGCCTACTCGCATGTCTCACCGCCTACTCTTCCTTCTCCTACAGACGATGTACGTCTCTGGCGCCGTCGTTCCTCACTCAGCTACTTCACCTTCGCCGTTGCCGCCGCCGCCGATGCCTCCTGGTGGCGTCGACTTCGCTATTTTTGTCAAGGCCACAGCCGCCGTATGCGCTGTTATATTCGTCACTGTCTTTTCGGTCTACCTCAATTACTGGACCGCGCTAATGTTCGCCAGCCAGAACCATACGGCCGGTGGCCTTGACGGCGTCAGTTGGCGGTGTTCTTGCTCTCGAGGAATCGACCGGGAAGTCCTGGATACATTCCCGATCCTCGTGTATTCTACCATAAAAAACCACAAGATCGGAAAAGGAGAGCTCGAATGCGCAGTGTGCTTGAGCGAGTTCGAAGACCACGAGACTCTCCGGTTGATACCAAACTGCAACCACGTGTTTCACCCGGAGTGTATCGACGCCTGGTTAGCTTCTCATGTGACTGTCCCCTTTGTCGAGCAAATCTGAAACCAGATTCCGGCGACGTATCCATCGTAATGCCGACTGATCAGTTAAACGAAGGAAGTGAAGGTAATACGTAAATTGTGATACATATGTTTTGATGAACAATTTGACACATCTAAGAACACGTCATGGTTATGCGAGAAAACTCCCACAAGTTCAGCAATTATAATAACAATGCAAAGAAAATTTCTTTCTACATTCGTAACGCCGCACAGCTAACGTATGGTTCCACGTTTAAGAATCTCAAGATTTGGAATTTAGGGTTTATTATTCCATAGATATTTTTGGTTCCTGAAAGGCTTGCCCTTGCCAATCATTTTGACTTGTTAATTTATTTATTTTATTGATTATTGCATTTGAGTCCTTATTTTTTTTCAATTTAATCTAATATTTATAATGACAAGGCGGGCTTGAAAAATTTGCAAAGGGATACATACAATGCAATTTATTATAGTTCTTATATTTCTTATTGATATTGCTATTTTTAAGGAGAATTGATATTGCTGTCAAAAAAAAAGAAAGGAGAATTGATATTGCTGTTTATTGATATTGATAATATTAATTTTTTGATAAAAGACAATTTTGTTGTTAATATTAATTAACGTGATATTTATATAAATTTCTTGATAACTATCTCAATTTTTAAAAAATATTTTCAAATATAAAAAATAATAATTGATCAGTATCAACATATGTCATAAAATCTACAACAAATAACATTAGTTATCCCTTTTAAATATCGCAGCTCATGGGAAACTCTGGACAGATGTATTAAATTAATTTAAAAGGTTGAATTTTAAATCTACAAAGATTTTTTCTGTCTTAAAAAAAATTTAAACATGTATATTTTTGGTCCAGCAACCATTTAACAACGTACTCATTTGTAGCAAAAAAAATGAAATATTTGCTGAGACTCGAAATCACATAATTTCCTTAAAAAGCACTTGGAAGTTCACGTTGATATATTGATTTTAATTTATGGACTAATGGGTTTGATTCATAGAAATGAAAAGTAATTTTATTTATGTTAATGTCGATGGATACGAAAATTCAGACAGTAGCAGGAGAGGAGTGAGGGAGACACGGCAAGCGCAGGCGCCTAACGATGTCGGTCCGAGCAGTAGCAACTCTTCAGGAACAGAGAGAGCAAACCACATGGACGAGGCCAGAGCTAAGCAAAGTAGAAATCGAAGATCGAGATGGAGAATGTTCGAGAAGCTACCGAGATCCAACTCCACGGGACATTCGCTGCTCGAACAGCCTCTGGCGACGTCGAACGACACGGAGAGGTATACGCTTAGGTTGCCGGAGGAGCTTCGGAGGTATATTCTGATGAATCATGCGGCCATCGGGCGGTCGGTGAGCTACCATGGGGTGACGCGGCCGATGAAAGGGATGGGTTGGAGTGACAGCGATGGAAGCAGCAGAGGGAAGAGGGACACGACGACGCCTCCAAGTGTTCATCGCAAGGATTAACGTTTCTTCATTCGTCTTCATGATCTAAGTATCTTCACTTTTGCGTCTTTCACAGTCTATGCTTTTGAGATTATTAGATATATTTTTAACAGCCTTTGGTGTTCGGTGCACATCCGATGAAGGTTCAGCTCGATTGATAGTTTGTATTATTTAAATTCAATTTAAAATATTACATTTTTGTTTTAAGTTTGTTTAATTTAAATTATTTTTTAACTATATGATTAATTCTAATTTTCGTGTTATTTTGAGTTTAAATGATCTAAATCCTCTGATTTCATAATTAACTTCTCGCCTTGAGAAAAGAATCAAAAGATACATACTCCAGCTATCAGCAAAAGTTCATTTTTGTAATTATATTTGGATCAACTTTAGGGCAGCTTAGCGCCTCCTTCACTTTGCCCTTTATCCTTAATGATATTTCACGGAAGCACTTCGGTGAATAAAAATGATGCAGAATAATGCCAATAAGATCAATATGAAGGAACCAAAACTCGCAAGTTACAACCTTGCTTTTCTCGGCACAGCCATTGGAGAAAGAAGAAAAGACCCCAACACCACGACATACAAAGACGACAGGTACAGAATCATTAGTACTTGGTATCTGGTGAAGCTGTGTCAATTTCTTCCTTAGCCCTGCAATAATCCTCAGAACAAACTAAAACATTTGATATTTTAACCGTAAACTGTATACAAAATAGTGTGCTGGAGTTGAAGGGGAGGACCATGCCAGGCAATGCAAATATGGTAATATAGTGCAGAAGTTGAATGAAAAGGTTAAACACCTACTTTACTGTCAAGCTAACAAGAAACTAGTTCAGAACAACAACTACAATGTACACAACAACATGCTCGAAAAACAACCAAAAGGGAGGTTAAAGGTCTAGTTGGTTATCTTTTTTTACAAAATACTTCCTAACTGTGCAATCTTGAGTTAGTACAGTTACAAGCTGATTGTTTATCTCTGGCGCCCATTCCTTCTATCTTCGCCACCATATTGGTGCAGTCTGGCTCCAGTAGAATTCCCCATGCCGACACTTCTAGCGTTGGGTAAAGCTGTATCCAGAAACGACTGTTGTTTAAATACAGGATCCTGTGTTCCAAGGTATTGGCTGCAATAATAGTCGGTCTGACGCAGATTATTTAAGCTGCCGCCTGAGAAGGCTACTTCACCGAGTCCCTGGTTGTTTGAAGTGCCAAGCTGCTGCTGAAGGCAATTCTCACTATTTGGATCATATTCCACTGGGATATTGCCGGTGAGAGTTTTTACTGCAAATTCTATGCATGGATCCATCCATGAAATACCAAATGGCGATTCAGAAGTACTGCCAGCATGTTCTGCAACAAGGTCCTTTGGTGGTGAAGACGCACTGCATTCTTGCTTCCAGTCACTCACATTCTGCCCTTTGATTTTGCTGTCATCCCCTTTAGCAGAAGCTGAAGTTTCAGAATACTTGCTATCACTCACTTCAGATGAAATCTGAGTGTTTTTGGAGGTTTCGAATGTTCCTTCGGTAAGAGTTTGTATTGCAAATGCAATACATGGGTCTGATAATAGTTCTCCAAGGGGCAAGTCGAGAGAGTAGTCAAACTTTGCTCCACCTTCCAGGTCTTTCACTTGCTCGTTGACTGTAACAGTGTTCCCCGGAGACAAAAATGAATAGCATTCTTGATCTTTTTCACTTTTCGGCTCTTCAAAGTCTTCTCAGGAAGTTTTTCTGGAGCACATAAACTCCCATAGGAATGCTTACTCTGATTCAACTTTGGTGACTCCATTGTGTTCATTAAGCTTTGAGGTTTACGCTTACTTTCTGATGCACTCTCACGTGCAATAAGCTGTTTGGTTTCTTCATTAGAGAAACTCCCTGAAGATTTATCCTCGTTTGTCAAGGCTACTTCGCCAGAATTTTTAGCTGCATTTCGGCGCCTTGTTATAAGTTCAGGAACAGGATCAACCTGAATTCCAGCAAGACGTTTGAAGCACGGCGGGGCAAGTTAATCTCTTTCTTGCGCTTGGATTTAACCTGGCCTTTTTGAACCTTTTCAGTTGCATGTTTTGTCTGTAAACTTTCAGGAAGTTGCTTTTCTGGGACAACTCCATCCGCACAACTGGGAATTGAATTACTTTCAGCGAAACTAACCTTCCCTTCTTTTTCATCCGAACATTCAGCTTGTGATGGAACTAAGCCGGTCAATTCAATGCCCATTGCACCTATATCACCACACGTAACTAAAGCACATTAAATGCAGTGTCTTCGTTGACTTGAGAAAACAAAAATTCATTAATGATCAGAACGGTATGAGTTGTGTTTGCATATACAATGAGGCATGAGCAAGCATGAATCAGGGTAACAGTCATGAAAAATTAATCCTACAGGCACCATCATACGGTCAGCCCCATCCTATCCAAAGATACAAAAATATTTACATTAATTATAATTTGATTCTTGAACAGTTTTTACCAAATTACTTGGACCAAAGGTTGCGAAAATGTAAAACCTGCTTAATTCCATGTTAACAAGAAGACGGAATTATTAATTTTCAACCAGAGTCACACTCTACTCAGAATCAAAATGCATCTTATTTTTGAGAAAATATCAAATATTTAGCAAAAAAGGATTTAATCAAATACATATAAAAGGTGCAAATGTGAAGTCCCCAGTTTCAACAAGAGATTTATTAGTGTCATTAAACTCAACCCTGAACATAAGGACAAATAATAAATTGATGAAAGGCAAAGATAATGGCATTCAATTTTATCTGAAGTCAAAATTGTTTACTTCAGAAAAGGAAAAAGGAAGGAAAGAAAGATAAAGCCAGAACTTTACACTGACAAGAACTGTGTTCAGAAAGAGGCATAGGTTCTCCTGTACATGCAGTTTTTGGAGTCTGTTGGTCATTAACTATCCGGTCCAAATTTGTGCCCTGACTCATGACGGTGCGTCGAGTCACTCTGCCAACTGATAATTTTGGTTTTCTGGCTACACCCGCTGACTGAAAAGGAATTGTAAATAGGATTGTCAAACTAGAAATCTTGGTGGGGGAATTACGTTAAGCAAAAAAAAGATTTCAATCACACTGCAAGCATTATCAAACTCAAAATCTTGGTGGGGAAATTATGTTGAGCAAACAAAGGGGCAAGGCTGAAAATATTTTTCAGCAACGTAAGAGCTTATGAATTCTATTTCAGGCATTAATTCAAGTAACGAGGAGAGTGCTTTAATATTCTATTTTAGAATTCTTTCAAAAAGAAGACATAAGACCAATAAGGTGCTGATATTAATTAATTAGGTATAGGGGCACAGTGGCGTTTAAAGTTAAAATGGACAAAAAGGTCAAGCGTGGCCCACGATTTGACTGAACCAGTAAAGAAAAACAACAACATATGTGAGAAATACAATAACGGTACATATACTTAAGAACCTCAAAAATCCGAGTATACAATTGCATCCACCTATGATTGCACACTTTCCAACAGCCAAAGACAACTTAAAGGAAATAGGACATTGTTTTGAGCAGATCTAAACTGTTATTTCCACAGTAAATATTGAATGTAATATTATTACCAAGCATTCATACATTTTTATGTTTCATATGGCTACAGTCAAAGATGGTTTCACTAGGTAATATTAATAATAATACGTCTACGCAAATTGATTGCCAAAAACAAAAAAGAACTATACTGTATTTCCTAATATGGCTGACATGTCAAGAGACATATGATTTATTAGGAAAAATCATTATTTCTTAACATGATTTTTGAGTGTTGAATGTTTATAGTGTTCCAAAGAAGCTCATATTCTTTGTTGAAGGAGACAATCACTACCAGTTTGATAGATTTCAAACGGTAGCCAAATCCAACATAGAATGCCCACGACAAGCAGATCCTAGTGAAATAGCAACCACCAGTTCCTGAATGAGTACGAGTTTTCAAGGTGCTAGTGACATAGACAAAAGCACACTATAAAAGCCAACCTGAAAAGAGCAAGAGCCTCTACTATATGTGAATCTCCCAGTCCACAGTCAACCAGTTCAACCAATACAAGGTCATTTTGCTGATGAAACAACTTAAACTATCATAAGAATTGTCCGTAGACATTAGAAGAAGAGTTCATTCAAGAAGCAGACCTTCAAACAGCACATGTCAGATTGTTCGATGTTGTAAGATGTCCATTAATATTTATGGGATTTTTGGGGGCTGTCAGGGCGTGGCAATGCACTATGTTGAACTTGTTCCTGTTAATACTTGGTTGTAATCTCATCTATGGAAAGGAAAAACAGAAGAAAAGCCCAAATGAAAAGAAAACAAAGCTAATCACGTAGCAGTTTCAGCTATAGTCCATTGAAGTTTAACATCGTGTTCGCAAGTGCTGGGCTATTAAATAGTCCCTTTTCCAATTTTGACATGGCTAGTTGAGAGCATTTTGACACACCAGGAAAGCCAAATGATGGATGGAAGGAAGTTAAGGTTTATCTTAAGACACTAAGTAAGCATATAAAGTGGAAGAACTCAAATAATAGCCGCCCTTACAGAGAAAATGTCATCTTTCAATTCTATATCTCTGCCGCCTTTATCTTTTGGTTTGAATGCATTTCTTCCTATCTCCCCAGATTCAAGATAGCGTACAGCATCTTTTATAGATTGGAATACATACCCACTTACAGGATCAATGTAGTATTGCAGATTCAGCATATAATTTGAAGTGAATTAATCCTCAAGACAATTAACAGCTTAAAATATAAGATATAACTTCCACTTTCAAGAGCTCAAAAGACATAGTAATATGAATCACAATTGGTAAAACTTCAGAAGCTAAAATACAAAATATTAAAAATGCTTACATGAAAACTAATTGGGAAGCATTTTTATTCAATAGAAGGTGGGATAGTAATGTTTACCGAATCTCTTCTTACTGTAGAACTCTTTTTTGTGACTCTGGTCTTTTTGATCCATCCTTCTGGTAATCCTTCTGCAACACCTTTCTCAATTACAACCTACATTGCTTAAAGAAGCAAAGTTTTCCCACATTAGTCGATAGGACCAGATAGATGTTTGACAGACAATATATGATCATCAAAAGAGGATTTGTAGACAGACATTTTTTGAACTGCTTGTGACGCTGACATGATTGTTCTGAACTTTGTCAAGATAATGAGAAACCTCTACCATGGAATTAAACCTAAGTCCACTTGAAGGAGAAAAGTAAAACTGCAATAAGTATGAATTTCATAAGATTTAAGTTGAACCATCTTTGAAAATGGTCATTTAGAGATACCTAAATGTCCTTCTGGCTCTTTTAATTATTAAAATACTGCAAAGCAATGGCTAAAGACAAAAAAGATAAAAGTTTGTTTACTTAGTACTTATTTTGCCATCATTAACCAGGACATATGTTAAAATGAGAGCAAATATGATATGGGATTTTGAAAAAGGATACCTCAGATTGAACATGTCAGTAGATAATTGAACTTAGCACCAGCATAGGTTTCACAGCTGGATGAACACCATTTCAATGAGAAAAAATATTACACGATCACGTGCTCTACATAAAATATCAATATATGTCCAATAAACTTATGTATGTATGCGTGTGTTACAATATGGTGCCGTCAACATAAAGTATGCATGTCTTAATATCATTTCTTTTCTTTTTTTTCTTTTTGGGGTAAAAAAGCAAGGGCATCCTACATAGTGCTGCAAGAAATAGAGCACATTGGGCGTGCTAATTAGACTTCTCCACAGCTAATTTGGCTGGATGGATGGAATGTAATATCATGTAATTGGCATCAAGGTAAAGATGACTCTCTTATCGACGGGCAAAAGATGACACTCTCACTTAAGGTGCAATTCCGTCTGGAAAATAAGCGAACAGGATTCAGAATACATAGTTTCAATGAAAATTACAAACTTCGTAAACAGGAAAATGAAATTTAAAAACTGCTAAGAGCGGTAAAATTCTCCAGAATCAAATATCAAATATTATACAGACATGTACAAAATTTCGCATGTATCTGTTGGAATACTGCTTCCAGAAGAAGCACCGCATTAGTCTTAGCCTATTTCATAAACTCAAAACTTGTTCACAAACATTCAAAATCCTTTCATAGGTTCTTAACCTAAATAGTCAGAGGAGAGAGGACCTGTAATACTCTCCCTATATTGCTTCCCTCTGACTCCGTAATCACGGAGAAAGAACAGGCAAAGACGATTTTGATTTAAAACTTCAACTGAGGTACAAGAAACAAGGTACAAAATGTCCTCAGAGAACATGCAAATAACAGATTTAACCAAAATGTAAGCAACATAGATATTTCGTTTTCCTATTAACCGCGCAAACTGCAGCCACTTATAGCTTGAAAACCAAGACTCTGGCTTGAAAATTTCTGAAAAACCAGCGAAAACCTAGCTCGCCACCACAATATACCCTTGAGCAAATATGAGACAGAAAAAACATCCCAAGTCCTCAAATGTTGTCCACGTTGAGGCAACGAAGTCCCGAATCTCACTCCGGTCCAACAGAAGAAGCTCATAGCAACCAGAGGTAAGAGATCTCACATTTCTAAAGATATACCCTCGTAACAAAAGCAAGCAGGCGAACTTCAATTACCTTGTCTTTCTTACCGTTCTTCCTCACTTTCACTTCCACAGTCCACCCCGGAGGCAGCCGGTCCTCGGAGTTAGAGTCGGCCATTCCCCTGTTGGTCCGTCTGCCGGCGGAAACAGCCCGGGAATGGAGATTCCGTCGAGAGCTTGCTTGCGAGGCAGTATGTCTCGTGATTGGTGTTTGTGCTTGAAGTGTCGGAGTCTTGAGTGCGCCTGCCTCCGAGTCAGGCCCTCAAAAAAGGCGAACTTGCAACACCCACGTGGTGCCAAACTTCCCCTGGGAATTGGGCATCTTTGTTTATTTTTATATAAATATAATATATATATATATATATATATATATCTCTCTCTCTCTCTCTTCTTCTCTCCCGTTAAAGTGTTTTCTTTAGCCATGTTCTGCAACTGCTCTTTCTTGTACTTCAATGGATCTTCAATTTATCCATTCATATATGCCTTTTTAGTCTTTTACCCGGTGATTTGGGCCGTTATTATTATTATTTTATTTGCATTTTCAAGATTGGGACTTGTTTCTTTGTTGGAAGCTCAACTATTGACCTTTTTAAGGCCACATAATCATGGGTATCTTAAGAGTAAGCCTAATCATGCACTTTTATATTCCCTTTTGTAATAAAAATATTTTTTTAATCAAAATTTCCAGTCAAACCATAGTTTTATTTTATTTTTTATTTTTAAATAAGAACAAGATTAGTGTATGACTTTGAAAACAAAATGAGTACTCTTATATTCATGATTCGCTTGATATCAATTTAAGGAAATGATTTTAGTTTCACGGCATGCACTGGAAAATATATATACTCTATATTTTCCATGTCCTTGTGATTAAATCTAAAAATAATAATTATAAAACGTAATAAATTAAATATATTAATAAATTGATTCAAAAACTGATTTGGCATTCAGTTAATACTCTTGTAGCAAACGGATATATTAAAAGCCATACGTATCCCATTTTGAGGATATGATCATCCTGTCCAATTTTATTACATTTTTGGACTCATTTACCGGGGCATAAATTAATGGGCTTAAATATAGTTTTACCAATTCTAAGGTACAGTACTAATATCAATAATAGAAATAGTTAGTTTCTTATAACGTGGTGAATTAAAATTTAAACTTTCGCTAGGAGATATACTTATATTTAATACCTGACAGATTCTCGAATATTATTGCTTTTAATAGGAGAATATGTCTGTTTAGCAAATATATATATATAAGAGTTAGGTAACCCATTTATATTGATTAATAAAATTAGTTAAGTTAACTATTTATTAACAATATGTGTTGATTTTCTTGGAATACCCTATTTAATTATTTATATTAAAAATTATCTTTTGATGAAAACATACTTATATATATTTTTGTTTTCCCGACACTTGATATGAATAATTAATAAGAAGAATTCAGAAAAATAATTTAGAAGATAAAATCAACTCGAATATTATATTTAGAAAAAAAAATTCTTAGATTCTTATATTTAGGGTGGAGCAAGTAAAATTGAGAGGAAAGAAGTTAAGGGTAAAGTTGAAGGGAAGGCGCATATGGGAGTAAAGGTGAGGTGGCGACTGGCGAAGCAGGGGAGCATTGCTCAGAGTCAGTGCTCACGTGCTCAGTTTTCGACATCATAATAACGCCCAGTCGCTCACCCCTTTATTATTTTGGTCCTTCCTCCACTCCATCTGTCCTACTCCTTCTCACACTCCTCTTTTCCCTAAACCCCTTTTACTTTCTCGTATTTGTATTCAAGGGTTTTCATATATGGCCCCGCTCTCTCTCAATTCCCCCTAAATCGCCCCTCCCTTCCTTTATACTGGACTTGGGCCTCCCGTTATGAGTATCCAAGCCTCATTCTAAGCACACGGGAGCCTCCACTGTAATGGCATTCAAGGGAATCAAAATATTAAATATGAATTAACTTTAAAATTAAAAATACGACCAGTTCAATTTTACATGAATTGCGAGAATTCTCCTCTTAAGTAGATAATTATTGAAAGTTTAATTTCTAACATTTCATATGAAACAAATCTATTTAGAAAAAAATATTTTTTTCTTTATATATATTGAGAGAGATTAGTTCCAACTGATAAAGATACTCCTATTTTTAAAAATTAAAATAATTATTATTAAAGCACAAAAATCTTGTGAGAAAAAATAATTTTCACCATGAATTACAATAAAATATTATTTTTTTTGTTAATTCACCTTTACCCCTCATCATTTTAATTAATACTACTATAAAATTAGTATGTTGAACTTCAATGAAAACAATAAACTCCCATCTGCCCCTTGAATGGGTAGTAATCAAATACGTAGAGTGTCAAGCTTGACTGCTTGACTTTGTTTTCGGCGTGCGGAGCTTCAATGTCTTATTATACCGTTTTTCAACCTTTTAGAAGAATTACATCTAAATTTCAATGACTTGGCCCATACTTCCTCTACTTCTAAATAATATAGGACATATTGTACCAATTATTATTACTTCAAAAATATAGGAAGTTCTTATAACAAGACATCAAAGATGATTAAAATAAATTGGAAGGTTATATGAGAAAATAGTACTATTACTTTTTTTATACCATTTTTAGTAATATAAACCACTTTTAACTGCTTTTTCATAATTACTATGAAGTAGTTAATAGAAGGTGTTCCGTATTTTGTTAAACCCGGGGGAGAGTATTTCGCCTTTGTCTTTTTTGAGAGCTCAAATCAGTTAATCCGTGCTTATGACTAACTTTTTAACTTATAAATTGGTAATTAGTCCTTTTCTATCATAATATATTATAATGGAGTTCCTAACGGAAAGAAGCACCCACCAGAGAGAACCATTTACAGGAAATGCTGAAACTAGAATGAACACCAACCTGTTTCAGAACTCTCACCAGAAGAAATCTGAAAGAATTTTACTTTGAAACAACACACCCACAGAAGTATAACATAGAATCAGAGTACTGAACAATATATATATATATATATATATATATATATAAATAAAAAATACTCAACTGCTCTCCAGCTTTAATTTTTCTAGTCTGATCCATTACATATACGTAGAGTGTCAAGCTTGACTGCTTGACTTTGTTTTTGGCGTGTGGAGCTTCAATTCTTACTATACATTTTTTTCAACCTCTACTAGAAGAATTACATGTTAATTTCAATGAGTTTATCATATAGCTTCAATATAGGACATCGTTTACCAACTATTATTAGTTCAAAATATACGAAACTCTGTAAACTGTCAATACCATTAAATTCTTCTCATAATGCGATATGAGAAAATAGTACTATTTTTTTAATCATTTTTAATAATATAAATCACTTTTAACTGCTTTTTCATAGTTCCTATGAAATAGTTAATAAAGATGTTGCTTTTAAAAAAAAAAAAAAAACCGGGGGAGTATTTCGCCTTTAAGTTTCAAAGCTCAGATCAACTAATCCGTGCTTATGACTAACTTTTAATTTATAAATTAGTAATTAGTCCCTATCATAATATATTATAATGGAGCTCCTAACAGAAAGAAGCACCCACCGGAGAGAACCATTTACAGGAAACCAAAACTAGAATGAACATTGATCTGTTACAAACTCTCACCAGAAGAAACCAAAAAGGATTTTAATTTAAAGCAACACACGCACAGAAGTATAACATAGATTCAGAGTACTGAAGTGAACTCTATATATATACATATATGACATACTCAACTGCTTAAGCTTTAATCTTCTAGTCTGATCCATTACATATACATACATACAGATATATATATATATATCTTCGATCATAGGCAAAGCGATCAATTATGAAGAGGGTTTGGTCCAGAAGGGACGAGCCTGTGAGAAACATGACGCATATGAATCTGCTTCGACTTATAATCGTTCTTCTTCTTCTTCAAGGGGGCGAAGGAGGAGAGAATAGCAGAATACCTCTTGATGAACATTGATGAAGAAACCGGCTTTGTTTCTGAACCTCCACGGCTGATGATGACGACGGAACGAGAGGTTGACGTTGAACGCTGCGTTTCAGACAAAACGACAAGGACAAGAAGAAAGAGGGTGAGGGAATATCTTGGAGCTCGCATCATAGCTACTGGTCTGCTCGTATATCAACGGAGGAGGAGGAAGAAGTAGAAGAACAAGAAGCTATGAGAAGGATTAGAAGAAATGAGGAATAACACTATTACTGAGAATTGAAATGAGAGGAAGTATAATTAATAGATGGATGTAGGTGGGAGAAATCTAACATTAGTATGTAATGTTGAAAATTTCTAAGTGTTGACGTATACGTGATTTGTCTGAAGCAGAATGTATGTGCCACATGTGTCCTACAAAGAAGTCAAAAGTTGACTCTCTCACTAACTTGTCTATCTTGTTCAAGTAAGATGGCTCCTATATATGTATATTCTCTATTTATATAATTTAATTATAAATCTGAATATTCCAGTTTTGATATGTGTATATACATATATCCAGGCATTATTGTTGTGGGGTTACAGGTTTTATATGAGGAAATAGGTGTCTAACCTCATCTCTCTCTCTCTCTACACCTTGATATTTTCATATTTTGAGTGAATTAAAGAAGAAAATAATGTCAAATAATGTACATGAAAATTGTAATGCATGCTGACAATTTTTTTTGTCAGAGGCATACTGACAAATTAATTAATAGTAGTTATATAATCTGATTTTTCTGTGATAAGATATCAATTAAGAGTGTGCTGGCAGGCATGTTACATATTAATTAATGAACAAGAAAAGGACACTAAATGATATTAATTTTTGGATAAGATTTCAATTTCTTCCTCTTAACGTGTATTTCTAGCTAGCCATATTGACTAGTACAAGTCCACACGCTATTTACTTGTCCAAATCAATCTCCCATTGGAAAAATATATAAAAACAAGCTACACAACGCTCTTCTCTGCAATTTCGCTTAATTTAAAGGTTAGATTAACATAATCTCGTTATATTTTTTTGTCTTTAAACATAATGTAAATAGTTTGGGTTCTCAATAATTAGTATCCTTAATCTCATATCATTTTCTTTTGGGAAAAGAAGATATTTTAAATTATACACATTTCTTGGTGAATTTCATCAAGTTTGACGAATGAGCGCAAGATGTTTATATAGTTCAGTTTGCAAGGTGTTTTTTTTTTTTTTTTGGGTTTGACTATGCTCTTTTTTTAATTTTTATTTCTGTTTCTTAAATCTGACGTTGCTTTATTTCAATAATTTTAGGTTTTTCACACTTTTTGTATTTTTTATATAAATATATGACATCCAGTATTATATAAAATCATATTTGGATGTTATTAGACTCAACTGAAGGCGACTCTTTCAATATAATTTTTTTTCCTGCAGAGTTTGAACTCTCAATCTTGTTTAGGGGAAAAAAATAAAAGAAAAGAAAGGATTAATACAATCTTTGGTTCCTCCAATTTGCACGAATTTTAATTTTGGTCTTTTAAGTTTCAAATCATGGGTTTTAGTTTCTTAAAAGACAAAATAGTTCAAATTTTTATTAAATTAGAGACTAATATTTTAGTCTAAACAAAAATTAAGATATCAAAACCTATAATTTAAAACTTGAAGAGATCAAAATCAAAATAAAAAAAACTTATGAGACAAATAATTGCATTAACCCAAAAAGAAAAAAAATTGAGTTTCTGTGACTTAACTTAAACCATCGTTACTTAATTGAGGACAATTTAACATTCAACTTTGTTACTCAGATTTATGATTAGCATTCAAAGACGAAAATGAAATAAATTAAGAGAGAATAATAACACTAGAATTGAGCAGAGTCAAAAACTATATGTATAATCCAAAGCCAAATGAAATTTAATTAACTACGGAGACTATAAAATAAAGTTAAAAAACAATAAAATCGAATTGAAATAAGTTATGATGGGATTAAAATAAAATCTCAGATGTACAACGCTCCTCAAATTCTACCACAATAATTTAATGTAATGATAGTTAAAAGTTAATTAACTATGGCTATATAGATAACTTCAACCGAATAAGCAAGAACATACAAGCTCTGGGACCATTTTCAAAGAACTGGCTTAGCAACATACAAGTTCTTCGTTCCCACTATATATATAAATATATATATATATATATATATATATATCCTGAAGCTATAATATAATTAAGTACAGGCAATCTTCCGATTCAACAAAATTAAAATTAAAACTTCTAATTATAGTTACTTTAATTTGTTCCATGCCTGTTCATGTTGATCAAGCCATATATATATATATATATATATATATCAGACTTGTATATATATATCTATATGCCTTCTGTAATCAGATTAGGGCTTCACCATCAGAAACTTGAAGAAACGTACAGTACCTATATTAATAATCTGAACTCGTCAGTTAATTATGAAGAGGGTTTGGTCCTCCTGGAGTTGCAGCAAGTGAAACTTTGTGACTTCCATTAATATCCACACTTCTGCGTCGCAATTCTGCAGCATAAAACTTTGTGAATGGAAAAGACAAGCCCCTCTTTGTTGCTGGCCTTTCTTCTTCCATCTTCGTCTTCGAGATTTGCCTGCAACTAGAACAGTATAGAGTTGCTAATACACAAAGAAGGAACAAAATATGCAGAAGTGAAGATTTCTGAAGAACTCTCATAATTATCGGCTTCAAGAACACTAGACAGAGATTAGGTTAATAATAATTTGGAGAGACCTAGGAGGACATCACAGGACTTAAGAAATATGTACAACTAGAGAGTTATTGTGAGTGGTTAGCAGATATGATTGATGTATTAGGTATTCTCTCACACAACATCTATCTATGTGGGGTCATTTTATACGGTTTGAAAATTTAATATGAATTAATTACCCTGTTTAATTATGAATTGACATGTAATAATTGATGTGTTTTATGTTCAGACTCTGTTGAATTACTCCCTCATATATGTGTACTGGAATCAATCGTCAATCAGCATTCTAAGTCACGGTGAAAAGTTTAAACACTTGGGAACAAAGTTCATGTCCTAATCAAAATAAAGCCAACCTGGATGATATTGCTGTTTATTAATTGCTTGATTATTAAGTTAATTGCAGGGATTAATCACAAAGTTTAGCAGCGTGTGGCTCACGTGGAAAACAAACAAATTATGTGTCCTAATCTCACACATTACGTTTAATTAGTTTTGGAGAATAATTAGTATATAGTAGAGTGCAGTTGTAGAGGGTCCGACACATTTTTAACATAAAGTAACTCTGATTTAATTTGGTGCTCGGAGCATACCAGTGCTTTGGTTCAGATTGTTATTAATTCTTACATGGTAAGTTTAAATTTAAATGCACTTCCTGTAATGAACCAATATATGGTTCTAAATTTTATGGTTGAAAAAACAAAATCATGAGCTTTTTGCGACGCGGAGATAGGTAGAAATTAATGTTATGTTTAAAACTTTTAGAGAAAAATTCTTGATTTTCTCATAGATTATAAAGTCTTGTTTTGTGTGGATCTATTTCTGACAAAACTATTTTGATGTCAAGAGGTAATTGAGTAGTGTAACTGGATAAAATTGCGTCATGTGGTTTAAGCCAATCAATTATCTTCTAATTAAGTTATGTCTGTGTTGATATTCTCATAATTTCAATCGTATCCTAGGTGATATAAAAGAATTTGCTCATAAAAAAATTATTAATGATTCGGCTTTAAGACTTAAGAGACTCCCTCCGATCTTTTCTGTAAGACAGTTGTAGAAAATATCCAATCCTCTTTTTATTCAAACATGTGTTTAATATGGGTATAGTTATGTTTTTTAATTTTTAAATAGAGTTAATGAATTAACTATCTCTTCTTAATTTTGATTAAAAAAAATTATACTCCCTCATATTATTTATAATATGAGGGAGTATAATTTTATAATGTAGCAAAAATTTAATATAAGGAGAATTAATTAATTACTCTAAAATTTATTGACAGCTAAAGAGATTATAATGACAAATTTGAGAGTAGAGAATGACAAGAAGTTTGTGCTAATCAGTTGTTCTTAGGATTTTTTGATAATTAATTTTTCTTTTTTGGACCTGATGATAATTCTCGCTTTAATATATATATATATATATATATATTTACATGTCATGCATGTTGATTAGCATGGAAGAAGGGGAAGAAGAGATTATGATAAATGAAGTTGAATAGAAGGGACAAGCAGAGTAAGTAGAGTCCCTAATTTGAAATGGGAAGGGTCCGATTGACTTGCCAACAACAACTGTGTGAAGGACAACCCCATTAATTTGAGCTTTAATTGTTTGCCTATATTCTGGGTTTAGGCAATTGAATAGTGCCACCCATCCAAATCACCAATGAAATCACCATATATAAATTACAAAAAAAAATTATTAAATAATACTAATATAGTAGAGTACATGTTACTTGGGTCAAATGAAACGATTTGATTCTCTTTAAATAAAATAATACATAGATATTAGGTAGCAAAATGTAGACGAAATCAATATCACTGATATACATAATATAAAATTTATTAGATCAAATTTCTTATATCCATTATATTAAGTTTTCTAATAATATATTATATTTTTTCATATGAATTTATAATTAAATAATAATATTCTAAAAATAGGATATGTTATCACAAGTGACTGAAAAACTTGACAAAAACTTGATATAAACATTGTTCTAAAATTTACAAGGTATTGTATAATTCTTAAGCGAATAATGATTTACTAAATTTTACTCAAACATTACATAATGAGTGATGACAAAGATAAACATGTAATCACATGTTATTCACCATTTCCTAATTAAAAAAAAATACTACTACTGCTACAATCATAGCAAATAATTTTATTTTATTTTTGGTCAGAGAAATAATTTTATTTAATATCAGTCATAATCGCATAATCGTGTAAATTTAATGGAAACAGAATTTGATTGAACCCACCGTAAGACTGAATAAATTTATTCTCACGTGCCCAATGATTCTTTCTTCCCTCTTTCTTCTTGTGCCTTTTCTCTCTGACCAAAAACATGCTCAATGATTCACACAGGAGGGATTATTGGGATCCTCGTACAATAATGGAGCAACAGAGAAGCTGAGACTAAGAAATAGAATAAAGTGTGGTGTCGGTCTTAATTTATCTTCTTTTTTTCCCCTTACAAAATTTTATACAAATAAAGTTTCTTCTGATCCAGCTGAATATAAGAGTCAGTGCACTCATTTACATATGTTGATAGAAATTACCCATTATATCTTCTATTGGAGGTTCAAACTCAGAAGCTTATACTTAATTAAAAAAAAAACTTTAAAAGAGATGTTTTTGGTATCAATTGAATCACAAGACCCTGATTAAAAAAAAAGTAATTAATTTCATGGTAGAAAACTAGAAGAAAGAATCCTGATTAAATCTAGTTAAAATATCAAAATTTAAATTAAGACTAATACTTTTAACAAATTTTTAATTAGGCCAAGAGGTCTTATTAGGGATTTTTAAATATTATTAAAAGACTAAAATGTTTTTTTATAATTTAAAATAATATTATTTTGAAAAAATATTTAAACCATGAAAACTTGACAGAGTATTTATTTATACAAAATATTTTACATAAAAAATTTGAAAATACTAAGAGTCAAAAATTGACAATGCATAATATAATATTTTATACTAATTCTCATATATTGATAAGAAATTTAAGCGAACAGGGACTTTTTTTTGGGTAATGGGAATAGGACCTTTTAATTATTTGATTCCAACACCATTAAATTAATAATTTTTCAAAGGAAATTTTTTTCCTTATAGTTGAAAAATTAGAATCTTAATGTATTAGTATATTTCACTATTTCAGCATCAAATTTGTCATTTTCTTAAGTGCTATGTTATATATGCCATATAGATGTTCTCATCATGTTATATCTTATAATCTTATTGCTAAAATTCTTCCTAATAATTAATATGAGTTGGTATTAGAAATCTAAATGACTTTTTTAACATTTCATGGGACGAATGGAGTAATATGAACTTCTTAATATAAATATATTAAAAAAATACATGTTACTCTTTTAACAACATATGGAGTAAGAACACATAAAGTTGATGGTTCATCTAACAGCATCTCAAGAAAAAAAATTTAGGTTATAAATTGATTGGACCAATTACCAATTTGCTACTTAAAATGGGTATTTTAGTCTTTTAATAACATTTAAAAAAATCCTTAATAAGACATTTTGATCTGATTAGGAATTTGTTAAAAGTGTAGGTTTTAATTTGAATTTTAATATTTCAACTAGATTTAATTAGAGTTCTCCCAAAATAGAACTCCAAACAGAGAGTGACGCATCAATATAATAATGGGTTTGAGGAAAAAGGAAGGGGGTCTGTAAATATGATTTGAACAAGAAGGCAAATCCATAATCCCAAACAGTGCCCCTTGTTTTGTGTATTTGGTAATGTCTCCGCAAAATTTTCAACCGCATGTGAATGATGCCTGACTCCCACCGCATTGTGGGCACGCCGACAACATCAATGTCACCGCAATTCAATTCCTTGTCTCCCACCTATTTTTACTGTTATCCTCTATCCGTGTTACCAAGAATTGATTTTACACCAAATAAATATACGAAGGAATATAAATTTGTTTTGAAAGTTTTTATTCAAAAATATTGGTACTTAAAAGTTTTTTTTAGGTACAAATTTACTCTTAAAAATTTAAAATCATAGTAATTTTGCTTATTACTATTAAAAAATTAATATTGACAATTAAAATAATGATAGTGACCGTTAATATTTTTAATAGTAAGAGAAAAAATTATCATGATTTTAAAATTCAAAGACAAATTTACACAAGAAAAAAAATTTTATTTTAGTTACCTAATGCTAATGTTCATGAGTAAAAACTTTTAAGATAATTTTGCACCATAGTCCATATATAACTATATGACAGAAGTTTTATTTTGTACAGCATAAAAATGCTTTTTTTAAAAAAATGATCCAAACAACTTTCTAAGTATAATTTATATGACTTTTTCCTAAAAGCAAAAGGTGTGTTCTTTCTTTTCCATTCTATTCATATAAAAGAGCATTCGGATGCCTATGGAACACAACCACCCAAAAAAAGAAAAAAATAGCAGCAGATTGAAACTCGTAAAACTGAGGTCTACCACTCAAGACTCATTATTTAATTTATTTAACAAACGTTCGTCCCATTACAATAAGTTGCCTATGCTAAATGAAAATCTGTATGGAGGGTTCTAATACACATTCGCCGAGAGGGCCAATCTTGAGTCTTCTTCTCAGCAGCTCCTACAGAGTTTGATTACCTGACAAGCAAAGATGGTTGCAGCAATGACAATTCAACTTAACCCGACCGTTTTATTCGACTTTTGATGGGGCTTCATCGCTTTTAACGGTCGAAATTTCTGAAGGGCCATCTCCGATAGGCTTAGCAGCCACCTCGGCACCATCACCGGAGTGGATCCCGACGGTTCGCCATTTGTTTCAGCTTCAGTTACTGGAACAGGCCTTTTGACAGTTCCAACCTTGACGTACTTGCTCATAAACTTGTATTCCCAATCCTGCAAGGCTCCAAGCTCATATGGGCCGAGACCAGAGATATCCCCAGTGAGATCTTTCTCGTCAAAGGACATTTTTGCTAAAGCTCTGCTAGC